TCAATCAATAACAAATGCTGATAGGGAAGTGGGGAAAAAGGAGCCCTTTTCTACTGTTGGTGGGAATGCAGACTGGTGCAGCCACTGTGAAAATCAATATGGAAATACCTCAAAAAACTAGGCTTAGGGCTGGGGATTTAGCTTAGCAGTTCTGCTGCCTGCCTCACATGAGCAAGGACCCAAGTTAGATCCCAGATACCAAAAAGAAAAAAAAAAAAAACTAGGTTTAGATTAGAGGTCCCATTTGACCCAGCTATCCCTCTGCTTGGTACCTTCCCAAAGGAATTAAAAGAATCATAACCACAGTGATATATGTGCACCAATGTTTATGGCAGCACCATTTGTAATAGCTAAAATTTGGAAACAGCCCAATTGCCCACCAACTGGAGACTGTGTAAAGATGTGGTTTCTTTAATGGAGTACTACTCAGCCATAAAGAATGAGAAACTAGTCATTTATAGGAAAATGGATGCATATTGAGGCCATACTCATGTGAAATAGGACACACGTGTAAATATCAAAGTTTCTCTAGCGTGAAAAACTAAAAGTGTAAATAAGGTTCAAATTGTACGCTTGATAATGTGAAATAGGATAAAAAGGGATAAAGGAGTAGGGGAAGTGGGAAGGGTAGGGGAAAGGAAAGGGAAAAGAAAAAATATAAGAAATAGAAAAAATGGAAACAAAGTCTTTGTAAATAAGGAAGGGTGGAGTGGGTAAAAAGAGGGCAGGGATATGGGGAAAAAATAAGAACCAAGATACATCATGTAAAGGTACAAGATCCCAATGATGAATGTAACTGTACTGTATACCAAAACGTACCAATAACTTGATGGAAAAAAAAAAGATCAACTGAAATCCTTTCCTCCTATTCTCCTTTTATACATTCCAGTAATCATGCTGACTCAACTCAGCTGGGCAGTACCACGCACGTTGAAAATTAGTCAATTAACTACCACAATGAGCTTCTTTTTTCATCATATATTTCGTGTTCCGGTAGATTTGCTTATTTGTGTTGAATTCTTTTCTCACTTTGGAATTTTCTGCTATGATTTCTATAAACATATCAGTAATTCCATCTATGTTATCTTCTACCTTTTTCCTAACTCTAATACACCTTAGATTGGTCTTTTTAGTGTCATCTGGTAGCTATTAAATGATCTTTTTAATCTCTTACTTCTTTGTGGTTTCTCTGAGTACTTCTTCATAACTGACCACTTTGTCCTCAAATTCAGATACTCTCTTCACAGTAGTCATTTCTCCAATGTATGAGTTCTGTACAGTACTTATTTCAGGCATTTCCATCTGCTATCTTTTCAAGGATTCTAAATCTTTGGTGAATTTGTCATTCATGATTTAAACTGTTTTGGGCAACTCTTCCAACTTTTTACTTCTTTCCTCCGTTATACATTTTGGGTAGTTTGAGTGATATTTCTGTGAACTTTTATCATTTATTCTTGGAGTACATCTATTTTCTTCGTCTTTTCTGTAACCTTTTAATAGAGTTCCCCTAGCTGGTATTTTCTTCTCTATTTGTGTACCCTTTATCTGCTTTAGAAAAATTAGGAGATCTTTCAAGTCTTCTGTTGCCTCGCTTTCCTAAGTTGCTGTGTGACTGCATACCCATTGATTATTGTTTATGACCCTCAGGAAATCGAGATATTGGCATAAATAGAAAACTACCAGTTATCCACTACTGTTACCTTGGCTACAGTAGTAAATACAGTGGCATCAGTGACATCAAATGTCAACTGGATATTGACAACTCAAACATCCCTTAATAAGAACTACAAGGACTATACTTTAGATCACCACTTTCTGCTGAATGTAGGTAGCAGTGTTAGACCTCAAAGATACCACTTGAGTAACTACATTCTTTTTCAGGATCACCACCCTAGCCCCAATTATTTTGTCCTCCAAACCTGGCCCTCCTCAACAGATTACAGGCCCTGTGAACTTCCTGATCTGATCCTTGGCCTCACAAGGGATCCTAAGGAACCCTTATTTAGCTCTTCCTCTTCTCCAAGTAGGAAAATCTTGTCTATCTCCCAAGGATTTCTCTCGCCCAGTTTCTGTAGTAAGGTAACATTTTGTTCCTATAGCAAAACTCTTCCTGGGTATTGGTCTCTTCTTCAATCTGGTTGGTCTGTTGGTTGTCACCTCTGTTGCCCAGGGCTGAAGAGATCCCAGGAGAGGCCTTGGCAGCACTGGCTGGGTGGGATGCTCAGGCTGGTCAGTGGCAGGGTAGCTGGCTAGGAGCACAGGCCTTTGAAGCACTGGCTGGGGGCCAGTACAGAACCTTTTTAATTTGATATGATTGCTGCCTGTATGCTCATCAACAAATGAATGAATAAAGAAAATGTGGTACTTATACACATGGAGTACTACTCTGCCACAAAGTACAATAAACCAGAGTCAATTGTAGGAAAATGGATGCACCCTGAGAATATAAGGTTAAGTGAAATAAGTCAGACACACAATCTTAAATACTACACAGTTTCTTTATGAGAATCAGAAAAATAGCAAAATAAAAGATAAGTAATAGGAAGTACAAAGATAGATCTTTTTCAAATGGGCAGGGGATCAAGAGATGGAGGGGGAAGTGGAAGGAGATATGCAATTCTGAAAAAAAAGTCATTAAGATGTGTTATGTACATGTACCAACTCCCCACAAGGAATGTAAACATTATTTACTGCAAATATGTACCAATAAAAACATAAAAAAAACTTCACAAAGAAACCAATAATTAAAAATTCTAGCAAGACTGTGGGGGAAAGGAATCCTTCTGCATTTTGTAAACTAGTACAACTACTACGGATATCAGTACAGAGATTCCTCCAATTAAAAAAAAAAAAGAAAAAGAAAATCCATTAAACCCATGTATTCATCTGCTAGAATGTTCCTGAGAGTTAAAGACTCATATTACAAGGGTACATACACACACGTGCTTATAGCAGCACAGTTCATGATAGCTAAACCCTGAACATAACCTATATATCCATCAACAGATGGATGGATAACAATGTGATATTATGCAGTGGAGTAGTACTCTGCTATAAAGAATAAATTTGCACCACCAAATGGATGCGTCCTGAATCCATAATATTAAATGAAATAAATTAAACTCACAAGTTTACATACCCCTTCATTTCTCTCATATGAAAAATCCAATCTATAAAAGATGAACAATAGAAAAGAAAGATACAAATATTTTGCAAATGGAAAGGGGATTAAGAGATGAAGAGAGTGGGAAGGAGGGAAAGAAAGAGGATGTAAAAAGAATTAATACATGTCATGTACACATGCCATCTACCTACAATGAATGTATTCATTATGTTTTGCAAGCTGGTATGAATGTAAAATTTCAGATGACAGCCCTGTGAGGTAAGCAAGTTCACTATCACTACCCTAATATATTTTTTTAAACTGGAAACTGAATTGCCTAAGACTCAGACGGGTATTAAGCATCTATTCAAAAGCAAGCTTGGTTCAACTGAATGTAATTTGTCTCAATCTAACTGTTCTTTCCTCCAAATCATTTAAAAATGCATTTCCAGGGGCTGGGGATTTAGCTCAGTGTTTCCGCTGCCTGTCTTGCAAGCACAAGGACCCGAGTTCAATCCCCAGTACCAAAAAAAAAAAAAAAAAAAAAGCATTTCCTACTACCATCATATTCAGAAAGACTTTGCTCTTTGCGGAGAGCCATCATAAATTCATCTAAATTCACCATTCCATTTTCTGTAAAATAAAGAGTTTTGATTACATATTCTGTTGCAACTTGGCAAAAAAAGTAGATTAACATTTTAACACAACTATGAAAAAACTTACAAGATCCTCCATCTCATCATCCTGTTTCTTCTTCATATCCTGCCTCCTAAGAGGTGTCTTTCTAAATTTGGTGAGTTAATTTTATTTCAACAATTATTTAGGGTATATGTGAAGCACCAAAGATACAAAAATAAGTAAGACACAGTTCCTGCTTTTCAATAACTATTAAATGTTAAGGACTTGGTCAGATACTAAGTTCTGAAAATGAGAAAAAGAAAAGTTGTCCATATAGATGAGAATGTTACAAAGTCTGTTTTATACCATCATGAAAACATAGTCAATATGCTATCCATTAAGACATTCTGACAATATTAACTAGCCCTGACAGATCCACGTATCCCCACCCACATCCTTAGTATCCATGGGTCACATTAACCACCTATTTTAGAAATAAACTCCATAGTTACTGTAATTCTGATAAACAACAGAAATGGTTTAATGACATATTCATTAAACATAGATAGATGTACATACACATCTAAATACATCTCCTATCCTATTTGAGCTAAGAAATTGTACCCCGGTTCTGAGCATTCACATCTAATATTATTTCCAAGTCATTCTTTCCCAAAAATGTTTCCTCTTTCCACTACTCAACTGAACTTCTACTGTTTAGAATTATTAGTTACTAATAAAACAACTTCTCTAATGCAAAAACCTTCATGAGAAATTTAAACTCTTTCTTGAGCCCAGGCTTGTAACTGGAATATACCACTGAACATCTTGGAGCTAACAACCTGCCTTGATTATCATTACCTGTAAATTTTCCCTAAATTTAAAAAATCTCTCATTATTTCCCCTTGAACACTTAGATTATTTGTTCAGAGATTTGTATACCTTTGAATGTTATAATCTTGCTACCCAAACCTCTCTATAACTAGCTCAGCCTCCTTTAGTGTCCTCACCACTCTAGAATACCCAGCTAAGGAGACCATAGAAGAACCTTACTGAAACAATTCTAAGCTATGAAAGGCCTAACCCCTCTAAATCAGGTCATTAGGTCAGACTTTCCAGGAATTTTTTTATAGTTTTCCATTTTTATACCTCTTCTTTCCCTAACCTTCTTTACAACGGTCCATTCGGTTCCATGCCGGATAGACAGAAATTCTTCTAACAGTTAATATTATTCCATAAAAAGCATAGTTTTCTCAGAATTTTGTTATCAGTCTCTTACCATTTCTAGTAGTCTCTGTCATAATCTTCTGTAAGTCTTTATCTAATAAAATAACTCCTAATGAAGGCAAAATGTTCTGGAGTTCTTCTGGAGCAATGTAATTTTCTTGGAGCTTACTGATAGCTTCATGAACATTTTCTAAGTATATGAAAAGTAGAAGACTGCTAAGTAATAGAATTTATGTGTTTATTTAATTTGTACCTAAAATCTTTAATAGAGAACAAGTTTTATCAAATCAATATTACCAAAGAAAAGGACTGCTTTTCTCACCATATTTTTGTTCTTATACTCTTTCTCTTTTAGGTCAAACACAAAACTATCTCAGAATTGTATAAACATTTAAAAACTACTAGTTTGGAGAAACAGAAGCTGCTTGCTTTTGATTAAAATATAATTAATTAGTCCAACATATCAAAATATCAATGTGTTTTTTCTTAATTCCTGGAGTAGAAGCATAAAGTTAGAGTTCTTTCCTTCCCATAAATTTACCCTACCATGTTTCAGTTCACAACCCTCAAAAAATTAAAATTCTAAAAGCAGATACAGTACTCATCATGATGAGACTCTTAATATGATGTAATGAGACAGTAAACATCACTGTAGTATTCTAGTCAAAAATTGTATAACCTGAACTTATTCATGAAGAAATATAAGAAAAATCCAACGTGAGGGGCATTATATAAAACAAATATTCACTACTCTTCAAAAGCGTCAAAGTGAAGAAAAGTTGAGGAACTATCCCAGATTAAAAGAAACTAAGAATGTACAACTAAATGTAATGTGTGGTCCTGTATCAGATTTGGATCAGAAAAATGACATTTACAGAAAAGTGAAAAAATTTGAATAAGATCTATAGATTAGTAAGTAAGAATTATTCATTAGTGTATGAATCACTTAATTTTCCCAAGACATCCATTATACTTATTACATTAAATACTAAATGCAAAAATAGTATATTTCTTTAAAGAAAATATTTTTTAATAAAACAAATATTTTGATAGAAGTAGCAAAAAAGGGGGATGCATACATTTGTTGGGAAAACATTGTTCATCTTTGAGGAAGACCAAAAAGCCTTAGTGACATTAGATATGTCATATTATTTTCATCCATAAGAGATAGTACCAAGTACTATGAATTAAAGTTGTGGAACTCTAAACAAAAGTTTCACAAAGACTTGACTTTCTACATATTCATTTAAGTAAATTATAAAGTGTTTAAAGGAAAATAGACCCTCAATTTTCTAGGGAACTTGAATTATGCTAATTAATACTTTAATAAGCTTATCATAGAAGGTTAAACTCCCCAAAAAGGGGGCATCTGAAAAGGAACATCAAAGTCACAGAATTAGATACACTGGCCTATGCATCAGAGCTGGTGGTCACCCAGGGTATAACTGTTTACAACTATTCAATAACAAATGGATTCTGCTCATTTCCATGACAACTGAAGGACTCAAGGACCTAGATTCTGACGTATGTATGTGGTACTGACCCAGGGTATTAACTGCAGTATTTTCCTTAGTTGAAACATGATTTAGGAGAGAGGAATGCTTTCTTGTAATGGGCTTCTGAAGTTTTGGAATATTAGAAATATCATTTTTATCCAGAGACTAATTGAGGCTTGTAATACTCTTCAAGTTTCATAGTTTAGACTTTTGAGTCATGACTCTCAGCTTTCTCTGAATGTTTTTTAAAATTCATGCCATTTTTTGAGTATGGTTCACCAGGAAATTTTATTTGCACAAAATTTTTTGACTGCTGAATTTTAGAATCATTTTCTTCCATAATTTTTCTATGATTTATTTTCTTAATCAACTTTTTGGATACTGATGATTCAGTCAGTCTGGAAGGTAAACTGAATTTCTTCTTATTTTGCAGAGAATATCCTGCTACACTTGATAAATTTCTGTTTGAAGTAGTTTCATCCAAATCTGAATCTAAGAGAAACATATTCAATTATTTTCTTACCCATATAATTTGTACAATATTTCAAAAAATGAGTCTTCAGAAAACGTATTCAATATGTTACCAATTAAATATATAAAACAAAGTTTAACTAGTTAAAAAAGTAAAAGTCCTGATCAAAAGATTGAACTATTTACTAGGATAAATATTATAGTTTAATATATTTAAATTATTTAATCCACACCCTGGAGTTAAAGTTACACTGAAACTAAAGTGAAAGGCTTCTGAAACACATCATTCTTATTCTCTGCTCCTTCTGAGTTAAAAAATATACTAGACATAAGTTAAAATAGAAAGATCCCTGTTAGTTATAAGGGTACAGAAGTATAAGAAAGCTTATGAAGTTAGAATCAAAATAATTACTCTCATAAATATTCTCAATATTTGTGGAGGAATAATTTCAATTATAAAATGGCATCTTTATAAAAATTCTAACCCAATGTCCCAAACTGAAATTTAACTTACAAAATTCACCTGATGGTACAAATAATATCTTATATATGAGTAATACATTTTAAGTAGTTCAAGCTTCATAAAGCTTGAGATTCAAAATAAATCTATAAGATTACCATGCTCCTATAAATTAAAAAAATGACAATTTGATATATAACAGTACCTATCACCTTGCCTATGAAGATTTTTCATTTGAAAAATGGAAAAGTTTGGTCTGTGTGAGAATGAAAATTTTTTTAAAATTTTCTCTCTGGTGTGAAAAACTATAATAGCACACTAGATCCTAATGGGATAATTAATAGTGTGAAATAGGAAAAAAAGGGCTAAAGGTGTAGGGAAAGAGGGAAGGGTAGGGAAAAGGGAACAAGGGAAAAGAAAAAAATATGAGAAAATGAAAAAAATTGAAATAAAGTGTTTGTAAATGGGGAGGGGAGGAGGGAGTGAAGGAAGGGCAGGGACAAGGGGGAAAAAATGAGAACTAAGAACTGTCATGTGAAGGTACAGGATCTCAGTAATGAATGTAACTGTATTGTATACCTAGATTGTACCAATAAACTCAATAAAAAGAAAAAAAATCTAAAAAAATAAAATTGTAGAAATCTTTAAAGATGGTGACATGTATTTATAATTGCTATTTATCAAAGAGACATAGGCCAGTAAATAGGTTTTTTTAAGTTTAAAAAGTGTTTTTAGTGCTTCTACTTTGGACTTCTGCACAATTCTTCTTTAGCAAACAGTGTTTCCAGAGTCTCTGGATAGGATGACCTGTCTCTAGATGGGTTTTTTAAGAAAAGCCACTGTGGAAAGAAAGTTCAGAATAAGCCCCCGTTTCTTCACATATGCAAACACCGTTATAAAATAAAAAACATGAAAAACTAAGAAAACACAACACTAAAAAAAAAAAAAAAAAAAAAAAAAAGAACCGCAATAATCTCCCATTAGCTGATCCTAAAGAAACAGAAACTGCCTGACAAAGAATTCACGATAACTTTTAAAGAAGCTCATTGAATTTCCAGAATACGTAAATAATTCAATAAAATCTGAAAAAAATATTAAAAATTACAGATTTAATGGATAAGTTGAAATTATTTTCTAGAAATCAAATAAATACATCAAGCTGAAAATATAATGACTGAAATTTTTTAAATTGCAATTAAGGGCAACAACACCAGAACTGATTAAGCAGAAAGCAAATCAATGAACTCAAAAAGTTCAATCAGAGGAGGAAAAGGATAATGACAGGATTTATGGGAGAGCATAAAAAGAACAAATTTTCAAGGCATAGGACTTTGTGGAAAAAAAAAAAGAAAGACAATGATGGGATAGAAAGCTTATTTAAAATAAGGTGAAAGGTAATAAGGGAAAGGAGAAAATAGGAGAAAATGCAAAAATGGAAATAAAGTGTTTGTAAATGGGGAGGGGAGGAGGGGGTGAAGGGAGGGCAGGGACAAGGGGGAAAAATGAGAACCAAGACCTGTCATGTAAAGGTACAAGATCCCAATAATGAATGTAACTGTACTGTATACCTAAAATATACCAATAAACTCAATGAGGAATAAATAAATAAGTAAATAAAATAAGTGAGAGCAGAAAACTTTCCCAATTTTGAAAAAACATTTAGTCACAAAAGGGTTAAAAGATCACCAGATGCAACCTGAACAAGACTAAAGCAAGACCTATTACATTACAATCAAAAAATCAAATATCAAACACAAAATGAGGATTGTGAAAACAGCAAGAAAATATTAGCAGATAATACATAAAGAAGTTTCAATAAGGCTAATCCCAGGTTTCTCAGATGAGAATATAAAAGTAGAGAGTGGAGTGATAGGTCAAAGGGATGAAGGGGAAAATGCCAACCAAGAATTCTTTACTCAGTAATGCTGACCTCTGGAAATAAAAAACAGGAAATTATTTTTTTAAAAATCCAGAGTTCTGCCATACAGTTGGTAAGTGCACCCATGTGCCGGGGAGCCGCTGTGTGGACCAGAGTGGTGCGGCTGCAGGCAGGTCCCAGACCAGGCCCCAACACAACACCAGAGGTGTGGGCACATCTGCCCAAGCCATGCCACCTAGAAAAGAGCTGCAGAGGCACACAGCCTCCATCCAGAGGTCCGCTGTACCATCGGTAAGTGTGCCCACAACCCCAGAGGTGGGAGCACACGTACCCAAGCCACAGCCCACCTAGAAGACAACTGCACATGCCTGTAAGCTTTACCAGAGTCCTGCCATACCATCAGCCACAGCCAAGGGCCCACCTGGAAAAGAACTACACAGACACACATGCAGAAGATTAAATTTAGACTCATATCTGTCACCATGTACCAAAATAAAATAAAAATGAATCAAAGACCTAAATATTTAAATAGAAACAATCTCCTGGAAGATAAAATAGCTAAACTCTTGAAGACATAGGCACAGGTAAGGACTTTCTAAACAATATCAATTACACAGGAAATAACATAAAAAAATTAACAAATGGGATTATATCAAATTTAAAAGCTTCTGCACAATAAAGGAAACGAACTGACTGAAGAGATAGCTTAAAGAAAAAAAAATTGGCCAGCTCCTCCTCAGAAAGAGAAATAATATCTAGAATAGATTTTTTTAAAACTAAAAAAAAAAAAAAAATCACCCTCCCAAATAAAAGATCCAATCAAAAGATGGGCAAGAGAAATGAACACACACTACTCAGAAGAAGTACAAGTGGCTAACACATTGGAAAATGTTTAGCTTCTCTGGCTATTAGAGAAATGCAAATTAAAACACTGAAGTTTCATCTTACTCCAGAAAGAATGGCCATTACCAATAAATTAATAGCAAACAGGAGAGGTTGTAGAGGAAAAGCATCCTTCTACATTGTTGGTGGGAATGTAAATTAATACAACCACTATGGAAATCAGTGAGGAGATTCCTCAAAAACTTAAAAATGTATATTCCGATCAATCCAACTTCTAGGGTCTTCCCAAAAGAGTTAAAGACATCATACTACAGTGATGCACACCTATATTTATAGCAGTCATTATGGCTTGTGTTTAGATGTTTCCTCAGAGGCTCAAGCAGTCATGGGTGGGGCTGGATTTAGTGTGACTGATTCAGTTTGCAATGCTAGGCCTAAGGGCACTAGGATTAAGGGTGTGAGTCCTACTCACCCTAAGTAGTCTAGATAAAAGGGACAGAAAGATGCTCTTATGGTCCCTGGTTGCTTTTGCTGTTTTCTGCCACCAGGAACTGTTGCCCCTCTGTAACCCTGCCTTAGAGCCAGCTGATTATGGACTGAAACCTCTACAAATTATGAACCAAATAAACCTTTCCCCTTTAACTCTGGGTGTTGAGTATTTTGTCTCAGCAACAAGGGAAGAATAACTAAGAATTTGGTATCAGAAGTGGATTCACTGTTGTGACGTTACCTGCCATGTGGCTCAAGAGCCTTTGGAACCCTTGTGGGAAGGTGAAGTTAGGAAAGATTCAGAGATGATGACTAAAGCGGAGAGCTGGAACACCTTAGGTGGCTCTGTCTGGGAGATTCCGGTCAGACCTCAGAAGACAAGAAAGCCGGTAAAGACTAGGCTCAGGAGGTTGCTGCTGCGAAGGACTGCACAGGCTGCTGGACTCCACACGACGTGTGTTATGGCTCGGCGGAAAGTTGGTCTGCATTTTGCTCATGTCCAGAGCCTTTGCCTGAGATTGAGATTATGGGTGGCAGACTAACTAATCTGGAAGAAGAAATTTCAAGGCAGTCTAATGTCAAGGCAGTGGCATGGCTCCTGTTGGGGGCTTTAGCCAGATTTATATTAAAAATCAAGAGCAAAGAGCCCAGTAAAATGATTTAAAATGTTTTGAATTTGGCCAGAAAAGAAGCTCCAAAAAAGTTGGAAACTACAAAGATAGAGCAGAGGCAATCTTGATTGCTGAGAAAGAACAGAAAAGAGAAGATGCCCTGAGGACAACACAAGAAGCATTAGTACTCCAACCTTTGCAGCCTCAAAAATTGCAAAAGTGAAACATTGCTTTGCGAAGAAAGTCCCAGAGCACCATGTTCCAGAATGGCAGTGACCTAGAGAATTTGTTCCTCAGGATTAGGCTCAAAGTGCTCAGCAATCCAGGCAATCGGCCCCTATAGCCAAGAGAGAAGGAAGCCCGGCAGCTGCTTCAGCTGGCAGCAAGCCGAGGCATCATCATATGGTGCTAGTTTTAGGTACATGGAAAATGGAAGAGCTGTGGGGTCAGGAAGGCTTCCACCAGATTTCTGAAGAAAGCCTGGGAGGCCAGGCAGGGTGTCCCTAAGGGGGCAGTGTGTGAAGCTGTGAGTGTGAAGCTGAAGGTGCATATTAAGGTGTGTTATGTACATGTACCTACTCCTCCCCATGGTGAGTACAATCATCATGTTCTGCAAACATATAATAATAAAAGTTTTAATTAAAAATTTTAAGGGAAAAAGTAGAAAACAGAAAAATCAATTTAAAATATGGGGAACCAAGGTTATAGTCTTAACTTACAGCTCTTGTCTGGAATAAGCAAAATAATGCTTTCTTTTACACTAAAAAAGTGTTTTGATATAAAAGAAATTACAAGTCCACCCTTTCAACACAATGGCCAATGATAGATGGCAGTGTAAACTGCAGGCGAAATACATATTATTTGTTTGACCTTAGAAAGTTTTACTTCACAGAGTTGTCTATCTTGAACTACTGGCCCTTGGCCACAATTTTATGATCACACTCTAAGGCTTTGAACATCGTGTTTTCTCTGCATGTAAATGTTTGGTTATGAATGAAGAAGAAAATAAGGCCCAAATAAAGGAGAAAATTGCTTCAAAAAAAAAAAAAGAGAGAGAACTAGTGTAGGATATCAAATATCCAAATAACAAGAACTCTAGAAACAAAAGAAAAAAAATAGGAGAAATTAAATAACCAACAACATTTTTAGTTTGTTTTTGAATCAAAGAATACTGTACACAACACACAGGTATAAAGCAATATACTGCAAATCACTTAATCTTGAGGTTTTGGAACAATGCATACAAAGTAAATATTCCAAAAGATTTCAAAGAAAAAAAATCAGGCACATCCAAAGAGTTAAGAATCAGAGGGCCAGGGATTTAGCTCAGTGGTTCCACTGCCTGCCTTGCAAGCACAAGGTCCTGAGTTCGATCCCCGGTACCAAAAAAAGAAATTTGGACTTCAACAACAACAATGAAAACTATAAAATCCAAAATTCTGAGGGAAAATTATTTCCAAATTAGAATACCATGCAAACCTATTAATCAAACATGAGGAAAGGCCCTGATATGGAAGAAGAGTCTCAAACGTGAGCAAATTTTCCCAGAATGACAGCCACACACAAAATGCCGAGGTCAACAAAATCCACATTAGTTCTCCAATATGCAATCTGTTGATTTCTATTGTCAGTCAGAGTACTCTATGGAAAAATTCTTCAGGAAAATTAGAATACCCAGTGCAGCCAATTTTATGAAGGGGACTCAGATTCCCAGTGTTTTGGGTAAAATCAGTGGTAAATATACTTTTTTAAGAAAACCAGATAAATAAAAAGTACATGTATCAATTCCCCAAGATGAATATAATTAATATTCACTGCAAACCAATAAAAGAGACAATTAGGAAAGCATCAAACAGAAAAACAAAATCAGAAGTGCTGAAGGGGATGGAAATGCTAATTACCTTGACTGATTATTACATATTGTATACATGTATCAAATAATCACACTAAACCTATATGTATAATTAATTTTATGTCAATTAATTTTTTATTTAGGAAATGAACAATTAATAATATAAACATGTTACAAATATAAATATGAGTGAATCAGCTAAAACATTTTAAATATTGCCTCTGGAATAGATGGCAGGAAATTTCAGAACAGGGTTTCTTTTTGTGAAACTATATAATTCTTAAAATGTAAGCAAAGGGGGCCAGGTATTGAGCTCAGTGGTTCTACCACCTGCCTCATAAGTACAAGGACCCAGTACAAAAAAAAAATGTAACTAAAGGTATTCTTTTTTTTCTTTCTTTCTTTCTTTTTTTTGTACCTGGGATCAAACTCAGGTCCTCGTGCTTGCAAGGTAGGCAGCAAAACCACTGAGCTAAATCCCTGGCCCTAGGTATTCTTAATAAAATGACATTTAGACAAATTAGAGGAAATGTAACGAGTAACACAAAGTGCATAAGAAGAGATGAAAAACAACATACAGTTCTTAATGAAAAACTAAAAACAGTGGATAGCAAAGAATATATTAAAAAATTTTAAAGAATCAAGATCAGGATGTTAGAATGCCCTACAGATTGTAAATTAAATATTAGCATTGTTTAGTATAACTACTTTGTTTTAAAGTTGACTTTATGGTGCCATGTATCAGGGCAAGATGAAAGAAAATTATGAGAGAATCACTATATAATCAGTATTAAGAAGGTCTACTTAGGTATTATACTAAATTTTTATTCCCTTTATTTAAGAGTTAGAGGGATTCAAAGAAAGCTTTTAAAACCTTTTGTATGATAAAAATCTATTAATTAGAATTTAATTAAAGGAGAAATTATTTATAAACAAGATTTGCTAGAGCAACAAAAACTCCCTTACAAATATCTTCATACTGGCTCTGAAATGCATCCAAAGTAAATACAAAATCTCCAATATCCACCATGTGGTTACCTGAAATAGAATAAATACAGATACTGTCTGTATTGGCTTTTGAATATAGATGTAGCTGTCATAGTTGTCTAACATGAAAGTAATGCATAAATATGTGGAAGTAGAAAGAGAAGACCAGTTATTATGAGTTTGGGCTAATATCCGGAATAGTGAATTAATAGTAGTTCACTAATATAAAACTATAGTTTTTCTCCTAAATAAAACAGTTCGTATCAAAAGAAATAGTTATATTTTAGGCCCCTATGTAAGATAATCCAAATACTCATTTTACAAACATATTTGAGAACTTACTATAGGTAGTATTTAAAGTACTTACTCTTTGCCTTCCTTTCTAGACCAGTGATGGTGAAGCTTTCCGAGATCAAGTGGCAAAACTGCAACCCAAAACCCACTTACTTACTGCCAAGGCCAACACTGCACTGAACCTGAATATCCAATGCTCAGCTGCTAGGGGGATTTGGCTCACACGACAATGGAGAGGGTTCTGAGTGACTGCTGTGGCTCACATGCCACAGGTTCACAAGCACTGATTTAGACTGTAAACTCAAGTATAGGGAATATGCCTTCCAATTCTGTCTCCTCAGTACCCAGGAATATATCTACTTCCTATCACCTTAAAATGATTTTAGCCGGGCATGGTGGTGCATGCCTGTAATCCCAGCACCGGAAGCTGAGGCAGGAGGATTGCTGTGAGTTCAAGACCAGCCTGGGCTACATAGTAAGTTCCAGGTCAGTCTCAACTATACAGCGAGACCCTGTCTCAAAAAACAACAACAACAAAAAAAAACCAAACAAAAATAAAATGATTTTTATTTGGTTGATTTAGTATTTTTTGGCGGGGGCGGGGAGTGGTACTGGGGATTGAACTCAGGACCTTGTGCTTGCAAGGCAGACAGCAGCACCACTGAGCTAAATCCCCGGCCCTAAATATACTGAAGACTATGAAGAATACCGCAATGTCTACACTGTGGATAGCAGATAGCCAGTTACTTAATGCTTTTCATATACTCAGCATTCATAATTTTAATTTCCAATCATTCCTGCTCTTGTCGAAAGCTATTTTTCTTCTCAGACAGTGCATACAAGTACCAGCCCAATTGCAGTAACCTTAAATAATGCCATTCCAACATACAGAGGTAAAAAATTGTTTTGCCTAATAATTCTTGCATCCATGTATTTGACTTTCTTTATTATGCATGATGAAAAAGCCTGGAAATTAACTTACCTACCTATAATAATATGGATTTGTTCTGTAGTCTAGTGATAAATCAACTATTCAAAAACATGCATGAGAGGGCCAGGGATTTAGCTTAGTGTACTGTCCCTGCCTTGCAAGCACAAAGTCCTGAGTTCAATCCTTGGTACCAGGAAAAAATAAAATAAAATAAAATATCTCTTGCAACATGCATGAGAGAAGTTGCTGAGAAAAACATGGAAGTTTTAAAAGTGACTACTAAATCAAAGAATTAAATTGTATACAGTATAATTTTCGTATTGTATAAGTTTGATTCACCCTGATTCTCTGAAAATTAGTAAGATACACAGATGTAGATAGGGATAGATGTATCAGTTGTAGACCTTTAAATTACTACAAAGCAAATATGTACTTAAACCAATCAAATAAGTGCTAAAACAAATCAGTGATAAATAGCCTTCTGATTAGCAACTGCTTCCTACATTCTGGTTGCTTATTTCTTAGTAATTATACTCATTCTGTTCTTGATTATGGTTCTACTATCTCTCATAGTCTCTCCAATAAATTCCTGGCACATCTTGTAGACTGGTTCCATGTCCCAAGTTCTTATGGAATACTTAAGTCTTAAGATAAGTCAAAGAATCAGTGTTCAAAGCTCTCAAATTCGATCACTCAAATTATACATATACTAATCCTATAGAGAAAGCTATATTGCTTTTATCTGTTCCTCATTTAGAAAGCTCTAGACAAAGCAACTATGAAAATGTGGTTGTCAACCACTTCCATGGATTGCTCAAAATTTATTTTTCGCTTCAATATAATAATAAATACCTATCATGAAACTCTGAAACAAATGTGAATTATTTAGTCACTGGTAGCCAAAGAAAAATTCTAGAATCTGAAATGACTATTTCGTTCCCTATCTAGATTAATAAAACCATAAGAAATGATTCTTGGTTGAGATCAAAGAGACCCAAGAAATAACCTATAGGTCTATAATCACCCCACCAACAATACTAACTACAAGACTACTGTATATAAGAAACTTTAATCAATAATTTACAATTGATGAGAGTAAGGGAGTGCTTAACAGCACAGCAAACAAGAAGGTGCATAGTATACAAGTGGTCTGAAATAAGGATGAAGATCTGAGTAAAGACCAGACTATGCAAAGCCTTGTACACTACCTTGAAATGTTCTTTATCACAATAATTATTCTTGAATTATATGCAATAGGGGGTAACATGATCAGACTTGTGCTTTGAAAAGATAATTGCTCACAGGATAAAGGGGATAAAAGTAGGCATGGTTAGAAATGTGAGGGTGAACTACAATGGTCCCAAGGAAAGCTTATGTTGACTTAGACTAAGATAGGTAGACAGAAATAGCTTTAAGATATGTAGGCATTTAAAATAAGAGAACTTTATAATAAATGCATGAGGAAAAGAGAGAAATGAACTTATCAAGGGTGACTCCAGTTTCTGTCATACATTTCTTGAGTCTGTTCATGGAACCAAGCACTATGACAGATGCCTAAGTTTAATTCCTATAATAATATTATAAAATTAGTATTATTTGTCCAATCTACCTTCTCAAGTAAAGCAGGAGACATAGAGACCCAAACCAGAATTCATAAACTAAAAAGGAACACACTGCAACAGTTTTGTAAGATTCTGTTGTTTCTTGTAGGGCGTTCCCTCAAGACTGTTTAATAATATGGCTTGAAGTTAGTCTAAAATCTCCATTTTTACAAGGTATCTTCATACTCCAATATATCCCTCCACTCGTGTTCACCACCCCAGAACTCACCATATATAACAACATAATAGTATTCTATACAGTCTGATTTTATATCCAGGCCACACATATGTAACAAAACACCCACCACAAAGCCACCATTAACAAATGGAAAAAAAAAAAATGAAGCCCACTGAAAATAATCCCATAGGTGATTACTGCTCTGCTATATTTACAAAAACATTTACCTCAGCCTAAAATATCTTTCTCACCCTTCACCCACACCTTCAACCAATTGACCTCAACTGATCTATTCTTCAAGATTTAACTCAGACTTCCTCCAATATTCTTTCTGTAGGTGTTTCCAGTGTGTACTAGCAACTTTTCAATACTTCTTTAAGGAGATCTAATTGCCACAGAGCATTATAATTTTAAGTCTACTCAGCTCTCCCTACTAGAATGTAAGCTCCCTCAGAACAAGAACTGTCTTTCTTTGCTTCTTTCTTTCTTATCGTTTTACTTCACTCCTGCAATGGAATTGATTTTTTAAAATTAATTTTATAGGTACATTTTTGGTATACATTATAATGACATTCACCACTGGAGATTTGTACCTTTACATAAATGTATCTTGATTCTCATTTTTCCCCATTCTCCAGCCCTCCCTTCAACCCCTCCACCCCACTCTATTTACAAATACTTTGTTTCCATTTTTTCTTTTTCTCATATTAATTCCTTCCCCATCTTTCCTTTCCCTTACCCCTCTAATTTCCCCTTCCCTTTTGCACCTTTTCTTCCTATTTTACATTATCTATTGTACATTTTGATCCTTATTTATACCTTCAGTTTCTCACACCACAGAAACTATTTGGTATTTACACGCGTGTCCTATTTATCTCACTTAAGAGTATCACCTCAATGTGCCTCCATTTAGCTATAAATGTCTGATATTTCTCATTCTTTATGGCTTAGTAGTACTCCATTTTATTTTTTAAAAACCACATTTTCTTTATCCAGGCTCCGGCAGATGGGCAAATGGGCTGTTTCCAAGTTTTATCTATTACAAACTATGCCACTGAAAACATGGGTACACATATATTGCTGTGGTATGATTCTTTTAATTCTTTTGGGAAGATATCAGCAGGGGAATAGCTAGGTAAAATGGACCTTTAGCCCTATTTCTTTGAGGTAACTCCATATTGATTTTCACAGAGGTTGTACTAGTCTATACTCCCACATCCCTTGCTCCTGGGTAGGAAGAACCAACACAGTGAAAATGGCCATACTTCCAAAACTACTATATAGATTCAATGCAATCCCAATTGAAATTCCAGCAGCATACTTCACAGACCTTGACAAAACAATCTAAAAATTAATGTGGAACAAGAAGAGACCTAGAATAGCAAAAGCAATTCTAGGCAACAAAGACAAGGTAGGGGTATCACAATCCCCAATTTGAAACTATACTGCAAAGCAACTGTTATTAAAAAGAACTGTATCTTATTCAGTATGATGTTTAACTGTCAACTTGATTGGTTTGAGAGATGTCCAGGGTATTAGTAAGAGAACATTTGGGTGTGAATCATAGGATGTGATCCTGGGGACTCTATCTGGATCATAGCTTTTTCCTCTTTTGTACGCTCCCCCTGCTTTCTGCTTTCCAGCTGACAAGAAGACTACAGGTTTCCACGGTCACTCCCTTCCTCCATAATGTTTCTGCCTTAGACCCAGTCATCAATAAATTGAAACTTCTGAAACCATGAGTCAAACAAAGCCTTTCCTCCTTTTCAGTTGTGGGTGTCAGGTGTTTTCTCCCAGCAATGGAAAAGCTGCCTGATGTAGAAAACTGGTACCAAAAAGATGAGATTCATTGTCCTCACATACCTGATTACATGGCTTAGAAGCCTTTGAAACTGGTTTGTGGGAAGTGTTTGGAAAAGTTTTGAGACACAGACAGGGAAGCCCTACTATACTGTAAGCAGACATTGATGGATAAATCTAGTGGAAGCTTAGAAGACCAAAATGTCTACAGGAATGCAGATGATAAATCTGACCTCATGAGCTTTCATATGGGGAACAAAGACTCTTGAGAATCAGACTAGAGGCCATGCATGCTATATTCTGACAAATTTTATCTATAACTTATCCCTGTCCTAAAACTCTATGTGAGATTGACTTTGAAGGCAAAAGACTAATTTAATGGACAGAGAAACTTTCAAGGCAGCTCAATGTTCAGGCTGTGGCAGGGTATTACTGGCTGTTCTTTTTACAGTGAGAATTAGGAGCAAAAAGCAGAACAGAAAGATTTGAAAATGTTTTAGTTTGGTCAAAAAACAAGCACATGTGAAGCTGGGGCCAAAGAGTAGTGATTGCTGAAGAGATTAGCATCATTAAAAAGAAACCAAGCACTATGAATTGGGACAAGAAGAAAATTGCCTTGCAGGCATCTCAGGAAACAGCAAGACCCCAATCACCTGCAGGCTCAAGGTTGCAAACATGTAAACATTTTATTGAAGAAGAGTGTCTCTGGGATCACCCGCTCAAGAAAGGTTGAACTAGGAAATTGGTTTCCCAGGATTTATTTTACCGCATTATATATCTAGGCAATCAGAGGCCACTGTAATTGTGGTCCAAGAGTGCCTGGCTACTACTCAAGCTGGCAATAGACCTTGGAATGTTGCTGGATGTACAGGCAACAAGAGCCAAGAATTATGAGGTCATGGGAGTTTCGATCCAGATTTCAAAGGAAAGCCTGGCAGGCCAGGCAATATGTTTGCAGGGTCAGAGTCACAGCAGAAGCTGTGAGAGTGAAGCAAAAGCTGTACTGGAGATGCCAGGAACATGGAATGTCTGCTGAGGATGCAACAGGCAGGGAGCAGAGCCAGTCTGAGAGGCCAGGCAGGCAATGGCAGGGCTACTTGAACCTGAAAGAACTCACATCTTACCACCATGTGCCCTAAACATGGTGGACATGGAGCTGTAGTATTTCATGTCTGCCCTTCTGCATCTTGTTCTGGCTTTGCTTTGATCTTTTTATCCCCTGTTCTTTTGATATGGGAATGTTTACCCACAATCTGAAGATTTTAAAAAATCCATTTTACTCTTATCCTTTCACAAAGTTTAAAAGGTTTTCATTTAAGTTTTCTAGACTATCTTTTACTGTCAACACCAACAGAGTTGGTGGCAAAAGAATCAAGAGTGAAAAAAATAGAGAAGCAAAGAATGAATTACAAAATTGATATCCGAAGTTCAAATAACTCACTGTCAATATAGGTATATTTTATCACTTCCTGAACTGTTTCAGGAGTTATGGAGATGTTCATGCTAACCAAAAGAGGAATCAGTTCATCAACAGCAACTCGGCCACCTTTCATCCTACGAAAAATCTTCAAATTATCCTGGAATACTGCAAAAACAATGCAGAAATAAATTACTATAATATGAGTATCAACAGCTTTTCCTGTAGAAGCAGCTATGTCAATATCCTAATAGAGGAAAACAATCATATGTAAGCATGGGGTTTTCTAAATATTTACCTACAAGTAGGTATTTGCCCAATTTTGGCCACATGTCTAGCATAAATTCTAATTTTTGCTAATAATAGCTGACATTTATTGAATATTATGTATCAGACATTGTCATTTGATCACCCACAATAGGCCTATAAAATAGACATTATTATCTCTACTTTACAGAGAAGGAAACTAAGGGTTAGAAAGTTGCCTTCGGTTACACAGCTAGTAACAGAAAAGCCTGGTTACTAATCTAGCAATCTTAGTTATAATACATCCTTTTAATCATTATACTATACTTACCTCTTAGTTAAAATTTTTAACTAAGAATTTTTTTTCTCATTGAGTTTATTGGTACATTTTAGGTATACAGTACAGTTATATCCATCATTGGGATCTTGTACCTTTACATGACAGGTCTTAGTTCTCACTTTTTCCCCTTACCCCTGCCCTCACTTTACCCCCTACTCCCTTCCCTGTTTACAAATACTTTATTTCTATTTTCTCATATTTTTTCTTTTCCCTTATTGCCTTTCCCCTGCCTTTCCCACTTCCCCTACACCTTTAGCCCTTTTCTTCCTATTTTACATTGTCAATTATACCATTAGGATCTTATATACAATTATAGTTTTTCACACCAGAGAAAATATTCAGTATTTACACTTGTGTCTTATTTATTTCACTTAAGAGTATATCCTGGGGCTGGAGAATTTAGCTTAGTGGTTCC